ATTTATATATAACTGATTTACTGTTAGTCTCGACAATCTACTCGAAAACGAAATATAAACAATGGCAAATATAAATTTGCTTCATCGACAATCCAACTACAGAATGTGAATTGGGAAACGGTCTGGCCTTTATTTAAATTCACACCTGCCCTTTGACCCAAAGGCACTTGTGCCAATGTGGCGGAGTGGTTAACGTGTCGAGCTTACATGCTGCACTGTCAAGGTTCGAGTCCCACTGAGGGTGTTGATAGGACCTGGGCGATGTCAAAAGTGCAGTCCACTTCAGCCTGGATGAGAACACCTTTTGGGAAGGCAGATCTATGTGAAATCAGCTCTACTCATATTGTTGTGGGAAAATTCTACTACCAGTTCGTCATCACCTTAGACGAGATAGGATGAATACATCCAATGAAACCCTTAAGTAAGTTTTATTGACAGTTTGGGTGTCTACTTTTTCTGAATACTAGAAGGTAGTAGGTTGCAATTGCCTACAAGAAGTTTAATGTTCGGAGAGGCGAGTGGAAGGGATTTATAAATTGGCCTCTCCAGAGCCTGAAGGATCATTGTCTTGAAGCGCCACACTGCGGCTCAGGTCAACCCTCGCAGGGCGGCACGCCAATGACCCAAAGTCACAGCTCCAAGGCAATCCCACTTCAGATTTTGGTGAGGCCAATTTATAAATCCCTTGTCGTGAAGACTTTCCTTTTACATGGTAGCCCATGAACGCCGGCCGATTTACGTTATACGACGCCCGGTTGACGTCAATACAACGCTCAGATTGAAGCCGTCCTCGAGAGATCCTTCAACATTTCGGGCGAAGATGGGCTGAACTTTCGTTCGTCATGTGACGTACATCGTCAGAACTGAGACTTATTCTTGCAAAATCCTCAAGTTAACAGTAAGTCAAGACGACTGACTGGCTTTTTTCCTGTATGATATAGCCCTTAATTACAAGCATAATTTAACGTATAAATTCACCTAGAAAGGTTTGGTTGATTCACTTATACTCGAGTGTGCCTATTTGTGTATGTGGAATTCTTTAAAACCCGCATTTTCTTCGTATATACAATGTATGAATCCTTTCAACAATAATCTATTAAACGATTCTTCTAGACACAGTTTTTCTAAAACCGACTTGTTTGACTCATCCACAATCCCACTATGAGGAGAAAAAGTGGTTTTTGAAAATGTCCTTTGTGCTATATTGTAATGCAGTTTCCCGTTTCGAAGGAATTCATTCCAACCAGTCTTTCCTTCGAAATGGAATGTCATGTCACAATCCCACCATAAATTCGATATGGGCCTATGACTGCATAATGGAGTATGTGAAAGGTATACGCTGCACTATTTGGGTTCGGTTCCGGCTGAAGATGCTGATGGGATCCAGGCCACGTCGAAGCTGTACTTCTGATCAGCCGGAATGAGAATACCATTCGGGAAGCTAGGCTATATGAAATGCAATGGAGTCGTGAGGCCTTCTCATTAATTTAAGGAAAACCTAGCAACCGGTCCTTCATCCCACATATTCAACATCTGATGACAGTTTTGAAGATTACCTTGTATGCATATTTCCGTTTTATGCCAATGACTGTTTCCTTTTTAAGTAGCAAATAAGTGAGCCCAGGTCGCTTAAGATGATTTAGGGTCGAACAAGTAGGCCTCAGAATATCACCCACGGCAGCTTTGAGCTCATCTCGATCTTGTCCACAGCCCTGACGGGTCGTGTCTGTTATGATCACATACGAGGCAAGCTCGTCCTCGCCCAAATCACATCAACCAACCAAACACGTGTTTGCCATTGCAATCGACGATACTACTCACTTCTGTTGTGAGTAGTTTTCAATGCATCATCAGTTATCCCGACGTAAAAACTGATGCTACCTTCCGTTTCTTCTGGCTCCGGTCTCATCACCCCCCCCCGCTGCGCCACCTGCCAGATCGTCAATGCCATGTGCCGGATCCTCTGCATGCGTCAGGAGTTGCTGATGGACCCGAACAAAGAGAAGATTCTCACGATTTGCGCCCGCTCCAAGTCGGCCGCTCGTCGGTCCGCGGCTGCCGACCCATTCGACGAGGTCCAAGCGGTACCTGCCGCCTGCTACTGCGCCATCTGCCCCCTCCAATGTGGCCCTCACTACCGATACCCACCGCCCCAACACCACCACCAGCTGCAACAGCATCAGCATCAGCATCAGCAACACCAACAGACCGTCTGGCCCTGCTGTGCCTTGATGGCGCCAGTCTGTCCACACTGCGGCCCCGTCTGCCCGGCTCATCTGCCCAGCCTCCCGGTCGCCTCGGCCGACGATTGTCAGATCTGCAGGCAGCAACGCCTCCAGACGCCGTCTCGTCCGGACGTCGAGTCGTCCGTCGGCGAACTGGCCAACGAGGCCGGACCGCCTCGCAGCCACCGGCAACCGCAGGTCTGGAGCCAGACGTCGACGCCGCGCCGGCCCGTCTGTTGCCGGCCTGCACCAGTCTGTCGTCAAGGCGACCGGCCGGGCTCGCCGTTCGCCTCGAGTCTGTCGCAGACCACTTCCAGCCCCGACCGGCTGCACAGACGGTCCGAGGAGTCTGCGGTGGCAGCAAAGGCTGGCACCTCCGCCGCAGTGGGTAGGTATCATAAGAGAGGGGATTGTGTCCTCACGAATGAGTAGTATAGAAGTAAACTATCTTTCCAGGTTGGGTGTTTGATTTATTTAATTAATTAATGTATTTCACACTTTTTTCGATAGGAGAATTATGCATTTTTAATTCACAGATAATTTA